GATTTTTGCAAATTCATTTAAACCATCGTTTGTACCTCAAAATACAGCGGAGGTGAAAGCAGTACTACAGGCGCTTATGGTGAAAATCCAGAAATAGTAAGTAACTCATTCATAGTAAGACCATTTAAATAATAAATAATTGTTCAATTCTTTAATAATTTCAGTTGTAATTCCAATGCAAAACCACCAAATACAGTAAAAATATTGCTTATTGGCGGTGATTGGCTGCAAGGTGCTGCACTGCGGCATTACGTTGAGCTGATGGGCGTGAGACCACCAGATTGGCTCAATCATTTACGTTTTTACATTGTGCCGATTGGTAGCAGTGCTATTGCAAGATATCTAAGTCAAATGGATCAAGCATATGGTTCCATGTTCGGCACTGAAAATTGGTATCAATTGTGTGAACGTGTGGCTGTTACAGCCGCTGCTGTTAGTGCAGTGACAACGGTCAATGCAACCGCACTCACGTCTTCGCTCGCTGATAATGCTAATGCAAATAAGTTCAATATAGTGGATTTATTGATACGTATACAAAAATATTTACAAGCGGCCGGACCCTGTGCTCAAATACCAATTGCGGAAGCTATGGTCAATTATAAAGATGAAGATTCTTGCCAGATTTTTGTGCCATTCATTTCGGTAAGATACATAATAACAAAATTTAGTGTTGTTTTTTAATTATTCAATGGTTTTTTTTTCTGCCATATAGGATGTGCGCATTGGGTACCTAGAAGGTCCACAAGCTTCACTTGATCTCGAAGAAAGTATGACTCAATCTACAACGAGTGTAGCACAACAAACAAGTGCTACCAGTGCAATTCCAATTGGAAATTCTGCTTCCACAACTATGATTGGTGGTGGTAATATTATGAGTGGAAATGGTTCTCCACCGCAAAGTGGACGTATTACACCACCAAATCAAACACCACCATCATCAGCAACATCACAACGTGAACGTATAGGTGATAACTTTGGTACACCACAACAGATTAATGTTGTACAAGTTGAACCAGTAGAGCTGCAAGTTGACTACTGGCCGATTCTAAGACATAGTGATCATTCTATTAAGGATAAGAGTGTCACGCGAAGTGGTGATCAGGGTGGCAAAAATAGCATTAAGAGTACATTTAGAAATCTACAGGTATGGCGTTTGCCGCAAAATGCTCAAATTGGTGAAATGTCTAGTGGATTGACTGTTAGTTTTGCGACTAAGGAAAAGAAACAAAAGCAAAGTAAGTTTTAAATTCGAAAAAATAAATTTCATTTTATTTAATTAATACTTTGTTAAAAATTGTAGTTATGCGTTTGGGCAAGAAAAAGGAAAAAGATCGTGATCTCGAAAAGGAACAATGTGTAGAAGGTGTTGCACGTTTAATATGTTCTCCAAAACAATCTCATCCAGTACCATTAAAAGGTTAGTTGAAACAGTATTTAGAAAAAATATAACTATAATTAAAGATGCTCACGAATTGAGTGTAATTCAAAAATGATTGATTCTTTCGAAATTGTATATTCTATAAAATTATTTTAAAGTGTTATAGAAGTGCTTGAGAAAAGGGTATTCTTTTGATTTCTTTATTATATTATTAAGAACACTAATTATTATCATTTTCGAAAATATTCTAATTTTCTTTGGGTATTCTCCATTATTATTTGAATATTCCCCATTATTATTCAAATCTAATTATTAATTTTCAAATACTATCTATTAAATTTTCTGTGACTACATCCATACGTTTTTGTAGTATGTACTTACTTACTTATTTTTATATTATCATATTATTTCTTTTAAATTTAACTATAATAAAGTGTTATCTATTTCGTGGTCATTATTTGGCTAAACTGTTTCACTGGCAGTTGTATAATTTATGGTTAGATGTTTTATTATATGGACCATTTATGGATATATCAATAAACCAAATTGTGGTATCTGGGTCAGTAAAAATCCAGTTACTTGTGGATTGTCGAAAGACCAATGTATATATGAGAGACCCACATTAGTTTGAAAATGATGATGATGTGATAAAACCGTAAATTCTGATCGCTACGGCTACATAATTTCCATTTCGCTTTGATGTGAAATGGAAGGTATGTGATTTCAATAGGACGTTATCACAATCCATACAATTCCTTCTGCTTCCTCTTTGTTGCATTAAAAATTTCCCGAACCTGTAGTATCATGTTTTGGTGATTTGAGCTAGTTGCCAAGTTCCTGAAATATGTCACTACTGTACTTGTTTTGTAAGATTACTTAAAAAAATACTTATAAACTGATTATTCTTAAAATATCACACTTAGAAAACGAATTTTCGCCAAGTTATTGCCGAATTACTACCATTTATTTGGTGACAAGTCACTCATAATTCTTCTAACTGGATTTAGTATTGTAAGATGTCACTTAGATGACGTAAAAATAGATTTGCATTCCATACCTTATGCAAAAATCTGAACAATATATTTTTATGAATGACACTGAATGTTTTTAATATTACTATCTTTCTAAATTTTCTATACATTAATATCAATAAATCAATAAATAAATCAATAAATAAATATCAATAAATATAAAATAATATTTAAGTAGGAAATCTTACAAAATTTAATTAATTAATTATAAATCAAATTTTTAATTCATTTAATATTTTTCTCATTGCAGTATATATCGATGGCACAGAATGGACTGGTGTTAAATTCTTCCAACTATCATCTCATTGGCAGACGCACGTTAAAAATTTCCCAATTGCCCTAATTGGACATTTGCAATTTCCTTGCGCTGAAATATCCTAGTCATTTTAATTTAGTTTTAAAATCAATATGAAAAAGGGAAAAATACATCACAAAAAAAAAGAACAAAAAACAAAAAAAAATTTAGTATTGATGTGAAAAAGTTTTAGTGTTAATTCTTAATTATAAATGTTGAAAAATATTTGTTTTACAACTATGCAACAACTTAAATTATATTTTGTAAATTATTTTTAATAAATGTAGTAACTTTAACTATGTTTAAAATCGCAATTCTACTTATTTTAAAAATACGTAGACAATTACATAAATTACATATTTATATAGAATTATACCCGTATTTATAATATTTAATCGTACAGTAGCATAAATATACTCATATAATTATTAACCCAACGTATCGTTATGAAATGTAATGTTCATGGCGCCATTCAGTGTAGCGTAACTTAACCCAAACGAATTTCATATATAAATGTTATTAATAAATTAAGTATTTTCAATTTTTACAAAAAAAAAAAAAACAAAAAAAAATTAATTAGTCGATAAATAGCCACAATATTATCTTAAAATATCTGTAGCGTTTAAAAGTTCTTAATAATTAAAATCTACTTCTACTCCATAACTAAGCCGAATGTAATATATATATTTATACATATATATAATTATTTAAATATATATATATTAATCTAAATATATATAAAGTTTATCAAAATGTTAAATATATAAATGTATTTTGTAGGAATTGTTGCTGAAAACGGCACATTTTATATGTGATTTTGTATGAAAGAAAAATTGTTTTGTTCAAGGAAGTTTCAAAATGTATTCGAAATTAAAATAAATGTACTTTAAATGTTCCCAAGAGTTGGTTACTAGTAAAGCTCAGTTAAATAGAAAAAGAAATTATTATGAAAATAATCATATACGAGTATACATATATGAATATATATATATATACATATATATGAAATAATAAAACGCGCATTCAAAAAGCAACAATAAAAACTAATATAAAATATATAAAAATTTATATATATACACTTCTATATATATATTAAAAAATATATTGTAATTGCTTGTATTTATATTTAACTACCAAAATACGAGTTTAATTCTTTAACTCTAATTGTTGTGATTTTAATTAAATTTTATTAAATAAAATTATATTATATAAAATAAAACAAAAATAAAGTTAAATAAAATTATTATTACATATAAATATAAAAATTAATAATGCATATATATTAATATTTGACTAATTATATATAAAATTTTCTATAGTACATTATTACCAGTTATTACATTTTACAAAAATATATATCTAATATACATTTATCACATATATACAATACATATGCAGATGTTAGTTTGTAGTTAAATAATTAAAATGAAAATGGTTGATTTAAAATGATGAAAATGATTAATATTTAGGCAAAAAAAAACATCAAAATATGAATTAAATTAAGCATATATAATTTATTTATTAAGAAGTATATATATTTAATTTAAACAAAAAAAAAAACCAAAATTAATATCAGAACTTACACTCTCATATAAAAAGACTTACAAATATATAATATATAAAAGAACTTTTTGTTTATTTCTTATTTCTTTATTTTTGTTGCTATTTTCGAATTTATGTCCCAGCTTTGATAAAATTAAAAATTTTAAATTTTATGAAGATAGTATGTACTAAAATATTTTATTCGATTTCATAAATATTACTAAAAGACAAAGGCACTCATAAATCTTTTTTTTGTTAATTTGATTCGGTTAAAAATAACTTAGGTACATATATTTATTTGAATAGTTCAACACTAATATAAATATATCAATAATTAAAGACAGTTTTCTTTGATTTGTTTGAAAATTCTTAACACTACTACTGTGTTATAAACAGGACCATAGTTCGCATAAATTTGGAATGTAGTTCTTCTAATAAGCGTTAATCTTAAAAACAAACGCAAAACAAGAGGCAAAAACTTACACGAAACAAGAGATTAGAATGAAAGGTACAAAAGATATGTAGAGATATTGAGACTCAGCTGGTTTCTGATGAGGAAATATCACCACTCTGACGAAATACCACAATAAATTAATAGGAGTTATTTAATGTTAAATTTTTTTCGTCAAAAGTAATGTGTCTTATGACGAAAAGAAACAATTTTGAAAGTTAGAAGGATACCAATAGAAATTAAAAGACAACAACAAAATGTTTAGTTAATTTATTAAAGTTTGGCTGAACAAAAATCATTGAAAATACAAGTGCCAGGTTTAGAACTCGCGGCTGTCAAATTAGAAGTCTGGAACTTGCAGTCCAAATAAATTATTAAAATTAAATAATTCGAATATTTCCTAAGACCACTGATGACAGCCAAACTTTAATAAATAAACCAAAATTTTTGTTGTTGCCTTTTTATTTTTATTTGAACCTTTCTAATAAGAGTTATTGTAAAGAAATGAGTTTATGCATAACAAGTGATTGTGTAATATATAGCTATATCTGAAGCTTGAGTTACGATAGTTCTGTTCAGTTCAGTGTTTCAATGTAAGAAACCATTGATTTGGTCCAAATATATTCTTCGATATCTAAGCAATTTGTTCAGTTCGGTAACTTTAAGTCTTCGCACTAGCGATTCCAGACAGAATCTACAAAGTATCAAATATTGTTAGATTTAAATAGCCTGAAAAGTAGGAAATTTCGGTTAAAAATCATGATTGTCATATTTTTAGACGATAATATGCTGATTTCTCGAATTACTATTATATATAATGCTTTACACAGGAATTAATAAGCAAGCGTTTCTTCTGTCTTACTTAAGAAACTGGCTTTACGCACAAAATATTTCAGAATAGTGATCTAAAGATAGCTCGAAGAATGCACATATCAAAACTTACGTGTGACATAGCACGTATACAATCAGAAAACCATAGTGTAAATATTATGTATAGCGTGGACTTGATCGCCCTCGACAGTCCAACACAATCACCGTATTGATAGGCTGTAGCAGTTGTGGCTCATTAGGAAAGGAAGAAACTCATCTAATCTGTCATTATTCAATACTCAACTGAAGGCATTCATCCACTCTAGTCTTAATTTCTGAAGTATCTGTACAATGTTGCAAATATAGGAATTAAGGACCGATTTATTGAAATCATAAATTAGCCACCCACGGGCTCCCATTGGTTACTACTATCAATTTCAGAACCTTAAAGAAAATTAGTTCGTTTTAATATTGCAGTATTTAATATAAAAGAAAAGTTATATTATTTTGAGAGCGTTTAAGTAATAAACTTTTCATCATTTAAATATGTTGTTAATATAGCAATGCAATAACAGATATATATGTTATTCTTATGATTCCTAACTTAAAGAAAACTACGTATAATTTTCAGATGTAGTATTTCTATCAGAACAAATGCATCTTGTAATCTTTGAAAAAATATTCTTCTTTATAATCGGTTATCAGTACACGGGATAATTAATGATGGATTTTTGGATAGTGCTTGTGGTATAAGACCTATATTCTATTTCTAATAAAAACTAAAACCATTATCTAAAATTTAATCTATTGTTCTTTTTCTACTTGAGACTTGATTCAAACTATTTCAAAAAACGGAGCACCATTAATAATGTAAATTCAATATGGACCACCAAATATTGAAAGTTCTGTAATAAGGTTATATATTACAAGTTTAAATAAGGTTATAAAACACTGGAGAATTATGTCGAGTATTCGAGTACGATCGACTTTGATATAAACAGATGAAGAACTGCGATTTTCGTAGAATTTTTACAACGTTCAGTTTTGGTGTTTAGATTGAGGTCAATATTCTTGGGATTTTTCATAGTTTTTATAGAACTAAAATATAAGTGAATACCATTTATGAACATCACTTAAAATATAATTGTCTAGTCAGTTACGACTCAAAAATAAATTCATTTGACAAAAGCATGTGTTAGGAAGTGTTTTTGGCTAACAGAATTACATATAAAACATTAATTTAGACATAAATTAACATTTATGTTCCGATTCAATTATTATTTATTATTATTTTATTGTTACAACAATTATTTGCAAGTTCATATAAATTCAGTACTAATTTCACTTATCATACAATTTATGCTTATTTTAACTTTTAAATTGCAGAATTATTATTAAAACATATTTAAGTAAACTAAGCGTAAAATTGAATTAACAATAAAAAAATGTATTATTAATTAAAAAAATAATATTTATTATTAATGAATAAAATAATACAATTGATTACTAATAAACAAAATAAAATAAAATTTATTATAAATAAAAAAAATATAATAATTACGTTAAAAAATTATTTAATTCCAGTTTTTTAATTTTTATAATAACAATAATAAGTATTTTTATCGCGATTTCTTTAAAAAAAATATATATATATTGAAATAAATTAGGCATATTTATAGTGTGGAATTTTCAATTATATCGTTATAATAAATCAAACAATAAATAATTTTAAATATAATTTTTTCATAAGATATGCAAACATTAATTATAAGATATAAATTATGTGATTGACTGAATTTTGGAAATTAGTGGGAAATTATATTTTAAAAAATATTACATAAATTGTGTAGTATTTCCAGTAGATTTTAATTTTAAAATATAAAATTAAAGATAACAAAATTATCAAAAATTAAAATCTATTTGGATATAAAAATTAAAAATATTTACTTGCTGTGTAATTATTGTAATTATTAGAAATATACTAATAACAATAACATATATCATTAAATATAGAGTTACAATAATTCATAATTGTTTTATTTAAAAAAAAATACCAGCAACAAAAAAGATTAAAATTAAATATTAAATAAATATGATTTCAGGCAAATAGATTACAAGTGACATAAGTTTTTAATTTAAAATTTTTAAATTAAGTTGGTATATTTTTGAAGTAGTGGTTTATACTATATAAGCAAGAGTTTTGGGGTTCCAAATTTCACTAAAATTTATCTGACACAAAGATTTATTCATATATACTTTGAATTAATTTTTAAAAAATCTCTCTTCCGAAGTCTTTGATACGCCGGAAAATGTATAAAAAATTGTCATTATTTTTTGTTAGTAAATTTATATTAATTATATATTTAGTATATATATAAACGTGACAATTTACATAAGTTTGAGGTAGATTCATATCAACAGTTGTTGTGACTTAAGTTAATATTATACATTATTTTTGTCACTTTATATATAACTATATTATTTTATAATTAGAACGAAAAAAAATTTTTTTCATGGCAGCTTTATGAGTTTTTGCGATAATCCTTTCACTATAATGGCACGTTCATTTAAGCCTAAGTTACCAGCAATCCCTCCAGGTGGTATTAAAAATGTACAATCTGGGTGAGCTCGAGGTTGTTCAAATTCCCGTAAGTTAGCATTGCTTTTACTTAATTCTTCTAAAGACCACAGACCCACTGAATTCGTTTTTCCATGACGGGCGAAAACATAAAACTGAAAAATGGTAAACGATATAGTTAAATAATATTTTAAAGTGGATTAGTAAAAGATTTGATTGCGAATATTATTTGTATATTAATTCTAAAATAATTCCATAATCAAATCTCTTACTATTATCAATCGCACAAACTAACCTTATCGTCTTTTGTTATCAAGAAACCAATTATTAAAGCCCAGTGCGCCTTATGTCCTCTCAATAAACACGGTTCATGGTTGAAGTCAGCATCATAGCTAATTTAATAAGTTAAGGAATCACTTTTCGTAATATATTAAATAAATATAATAAAAAATTTGACAGGACACGAATGCAATTCCTGGTATATGCAGTTTCAAAAAATTATTTACGAATAATTAAATACAAGAAATATTTCCAAGACCGCTGATGTTAGGTTTTTGATAATACTCGAAACAGGTGTATGGGCAGCCGAAAATTCAATTAATTAAAATAATATAAAAGAATTTTTGTTGTTGTAGTTTACTACTTTTCGAAACCTTTTTATAAAAAAATTATATTAAAAACACAATTTATCTTTTAAGTTTAATTATTTATTGTTAATTAAAATTAGTTTTTAAAACAGTTTTAAGATAGCAAAAAAAAAATATATATTTTAACCAACACGCATTGGCGGTGAAACTAAAATGACACCATCTCCTCTCACAAATAACATTGGAATATTCCGTTTGGTTGTTTTATATACTTCCTCGTAGGTTTCCTCATCGATTTCCACTGTTGTTACCGTTTCCTCTGCGTCACCCAATACCATATTTAAATGTTGATCAAACGCCTGAAAGTAGAAGATGAATTAATAAAAACAATTATTGATATATTTTTTATTATTGGAAGTATTCATTAAGTCCATGTGTCCATACTATGAATAAAATTCAAACCTTCCAAACCAAAGAGAATAGTAGAAGATTGTTGGAATTTTAAAAATAGAAATATTAAGAGATGCCTACGATTTAAAATGGTAAATAGTACAGTAAAGTAAATACATTGCTACTTTTAGAAGTGATATCAAGATTCCAAACACCAAGACTTTGTGCTCATTCTTATGAAAAATCAAAGAAATTCTGTGAACGAAGGTAAATATGTTTCCGTTTGGACAATTTATAAACGAAATATGACAAAATATTTTAATTATTCGAACTCTATACATCTTAAGGTTTGTGTGGATGGTAGACACTAATCGCAATTCCTATCATTTCGATGTGGATCTTTTATATTTTAAGAACTGGACCTTTAGCAATACCAATGTCAGTTGGTATTATTGAGATGTGCCTCACTTGTGCTCAAAGGACTGGACCTATTTCAATATCAGTTGTAAGGCACATTAGAAATCAGTCTATCATTTCAATAAAACATGCGATATTAATAATGTCTACAGTAGATACCAATCCCAGCTTGTGTCATTGAAAAGTGACTTACTCATGCCTTTGAATGAATTTGATGTTTTGGGATTGCAGTTTTTCAAGAAATTTATCTATCGTTTTTATAAAAATATACGAAGTCATTGATGTCTATGGTAGATACCAACACCACCTCGTATCATCTATAATATCTATAGTAGATGGGATTTCACTAAATTAGATGAACATCTGTTTGCGTATGCCCTGCAGTGACAGTGTAGATAAGTAGTGCCTTTCTTGATCAGTGAATCTTGGTGTACAAAGCTGCCATTCCAATCTAACCTAAACTTTTGTTTCCTTTTCCATACAACGACAGCTACAGTTATGATAGCATGATTTATTTAACAATCATTTTATTATATTTAGGCATTGATAAAGTGC